ATAAGAATTCAGGTCAGAACCAAGGTTATTTATAATGACAAGATAAAATGGAATTCCTTGGAGCAAGTAGAGAGTGGTGGTAATGGGATATTATGTATTACAGCAGCATACCTTATTAGGGATTTATTAACTGATGTACAGTTTAATGGATAAGAGCACACCTCCGAGATCGGAATGAGTAGGGTTGTGTCAGCATTTGCCAACTATTAACTGTGAGCCTTTGAGCAATTTATTTAATATTGCTGAACATCAGTTTTCTCATCTATAAAATGGGGATACTAATACTTTCCTTTGAGGATTGTATTGAGGATTAAGTAATATAGTCCCTGTAAAGAATTTATCACAGTACCTGCCATATAGTAAACAGTCACAGATTAAGGTTTAAAGACACTTTTCAACCATATGGGGATTTCCTGGCAAAAACCTTGCTGGTGCAGCAACTAGGCTCAGGGTTAATTAGATCTGGGATTTTTCTCTGTGGGTTTCTGACTACCTCCTACCCATGCCTTAGACTCCACCACTCTTGACTGAAGTGAGGACTAAATCTACTGATAGATTGTACGCAGAGACATTGAATCTATTGCAAAAGCAAAAGTAGAGAAAAGCTTGAACGACTTATGTCTGATTGAATGGACAAATGGCTTGACAAACTTGATGATATAGTCGTAATCTGGCTTGTGAATTCGGCCAAGCTGGACTAAGTGATGATCCAATGGGTGGCTGGCTAACTCTTCTAATTCCTTGTCATTGTGTATAGAACCAAAGGAAAACACAAATATGGAGTAGCTTTGACACTTGGACCTCAGAGATACATTCATTAAGACTTCTTCGTCTAAAGGGTTGGTTTCACCAGCAGATATTATAAAGATAACTTTGTTTTTCCTCAGGTTGGGGATTCCTACAAAGACATTGTCAATTGTCCACTGCAGAGCATGGCCAATAAAAACACCTCCATTGAGCTGTTGAAGAGAGTCTTGGATGTGATGTTTCATTTGGTATATATTGTTATAAGTAACCAAATCAAATTCCAGGTAGACTGGGCATTCTTCAGTGTTGGGCATATAGCCCAGAGGAGAGTAGCTCAGGACTGCCACTCTATCTCCTAAGGTGGAGGTCAGAGGATCTGGGGCAATATGAAAGTAATCAAGCACAGAGGTTATAAAAGCTTTCACTTCCTTAAACTCATCATGTCCTACTCTATGCGAAGCATCTATGAGGAAAGCCACGTCCATGTAAAAGTCTTGAAGAGAGAAATTTTTAGGTTCATAAATAGGACCTGGTTCTTCTTTTCTGCCATGATTTTCATGTCCTGCAACAGAATAACTCAAGTCACTCTTTTTAGTGGAAGGATAAACTCAGAACTCCTACCTCAAGAATGGCAAATACACAGCCCGAGGTATTACCATGCCCCATTCCCACACCCATGGAAGACATCACTAATCCATCAAAGTATTTGTTCCCAGATGCAGTGTCCAAATCTTTCTTCACACAGAGCACCTGGAGCCAGATGTTGTCACATGTGAAAAAAAAAACATATTTAATACCCCATCTTACATCTTTGTCAAAGGATTTATTCTTCAACTATTTTCTATATGCAAGATGAGAAACAGACAGCTATTTTTAG